TGAAAAAGCCTTGGTGGCTGTGGTGACTGGCAGTGGCTGCAGCAGTGGGGTGATGGGGCTGGTGCCTTCCCCTGATCAGCTTGGTCACCTCCCACAAAGGGAGGCTAGACTGTGGCTTAGGCCCGCTCCCCAAGGGGAACAGGGAGCAGGCCTAAGCCATCACTAGGACATCCCCCGAGGGCTCCCAGTATGTGAGAGGGGGCAGGCTGGGCTGAGGGGCACGAATTTCATGCACTGGGCCCCTAGTTTTAATATAATGCACATTTGTTGCATGACTTTCTCAGAAAAATAGCTTACCATCAGACAAGGTAGCTGGAGTCAGACACACAGGTTTGAGGGACTGTGGGAAAAAGGTTGAATTGCTGTGCTGCTAGATTTGAGTCTGTTGAATCTTTAGACAGTTTAGAAGGCCAAGAAGTAAAATTTGGGCCATGTAGGATTCATTTAGTGGCTGTTCTAAATAGTCTGATAATATGTGTCCCCTCCAAACAACCAATGATGCTCTGTCTTTTCAATGTGAAAGTTTACAATAATTCTATTTACATGTCAGTTTCCACCTTCCATTTCAAACCAGTTTATTCATAATTGCGCATTGTTGGATCTCATCTGTTTTTACTCTTTCCACTGTAGAGGTTAGACAATTGGTATTGTCACTGGGTTGTTTTTTTAAATATGGAAAATAATTATAAAGTAGATCAAGCCTATGGTTGACCAGTATGATGGGTTTTAAGAGACTAGATGGTCACCTGGGAAACGTATGCAGACATTTGGGTCACCATTGAAGCTGAGGTTGGTCTCAGCAGAGCCAGCTGCTTCCCGGTCACACCCCGACCACTGGGACAAACAGGGAGAAGACACAGTGCTAATGCTGTCTTCTACATTAAGGTTTGAATGAAATGGGCCCACCCGGCCCAATGGGAATGCCTGGGCTGAAAGGGGAGACAGGTGACCCCGGGAACCCAGGAATTTCTCCTCCAGGCCTTTTTGGAGAAAAAGGTCCGCCAGGCCCTCCAGGTAAGAAGCAGAATGCTTTGCCCCCCGCCCCCCTGCATACTGAAATCAAAATCTTCAAATGTGATGAGGCTCACATCTGGACATGTCCATCCTCAGGGAGACCTGGACCTCCTGGTCCTGCAGGTGCCACAGGACGACCTCCTAAGTGTGATTTTCCTGACCCCGGTCCGCCTGGAGATCAAGGACCTCCTGGCCCCGATGGTCCAAGAGGTACGGGAAAATCCTGGCAAAGGTTGGTGATGCCCCTTTCCTGAGATGCTGCCAGCTCTGTAGGGAGGGAGGACCAGAGAATGACAGAGGAGAAGCCCCTTAGCAGCTCCGTTATTTGGGCAGATGGAAAGGTGGGGGGGTGTGGGCAGCGGTGGGTTAGCAGGACCATACCCAGGAGAGCCCAGGCCCCTCACTCTTCTATGACACCCCATCAGACCCCTCTCTGTGAGTACAAACTCTGAGTCAGAGCAAGCCCTTCCCATCACCAGCCCAACGTTGTGTGCAAGGCTGTAGCAGCACATCCTGCCTGTGGGTGTCTGCACCTGCCCCCTAAACCTCTGCCACTGGCCCAGAGTGACAGGGCCCAGGCCTGGCGTACACACAGAGACAGAGCTCTCCCTGTGCTGCCCACAGTCCATTTCGCTCCTCTCATCACTTCCCAGGGACAAACTCCAGCAAGGCAATATTTAACCAATGGGTGGACCAGAGCTGGGCAGGGAATGGGGGAAAACCGTGACTCAGTGCAGTGTTTTGCTACATGCAGATCATCACATTCCTCCTAATCAAAGGGAGACACAAACCACCATCTTTAAGTGCTAAACATTTTAGTAAAGGTGGGGTTACAGTATTATATAATTCTATTTTACTACAAAATAAAACTGCTTAAATCAGCATAGTTTTAGTAGAATAAAATTTGGGCTCAATTCTTATGTGTAGACACTTGTTTTCAAATATGATTATAACTGAATGAACATTTCTTTCACATCAGCCAAATTTTCTCATAAGTATATCATCTATACATCTGTCTATCTATCTATCTATCTATCTATCTATCTATCTATCTATCCATCCATCCATCTCTCTATGTAATCTATATACTTACCCACCTACCTGCCCACTCACCTATCTATCATCTACATCTATCTGTCTATCTATCTATCTATCTATCTATCTATCTATCTATCTATCCACCCACCCACCCCCCTATCCTCTACCATATTAAAGCAACGGGATAGCAATGCAAACAAAAGGAATGGCTCTGAAGGGAAGGAAGGCTTTGCTTGGGTTCGTTTTATCCAACAGCCACTAACAGACTACTTACACCATTTCTCAGGCTCCACGAGACCTACTCTCTGTTTCACTTCTGACGCTATTGATTTTCTTATTTTTCTAATTCCTTCCATCCCTTGCTTGCAAACCATTAAATTACTTCCCTTCGGAAGCTCTCAGGCAGCCAGCACACAGGCTTGTCTTTGACTGAAAGAATCTCTTGCCTCCTCCCTGTGGCCAGGACCCCCCGGGCCTCCAGGGCCCCCTGGGAGCATTGACCTTCTGCAAGGGGATCCAGGAGACTGTGGTCTGCCCGGGCCTCCAGGTCCCCGGGGCCCGCCAGGCCCTCCAGGACCCAAAGGCCTCCCAGGATGTGATGGAAACGATGGCCAGAAAGGTATGAACGCGAGTTGTTCCTTAAGTAGTTCGTGAAGGCTTCTGCTATCTTGCCATTGAGGGTCTGGAGTATTGGACAACCATGACCTAATTCTTACTTTCTGTTGAATGAGTGGCTATATTGCCCAATTGTCCTTCCTTTCCAGAGAGTCCTAAAGTTCAGGTAATTGTTGGCCAAGTAAGATGAGAAATACAAGTTCATCTTTAGACCCTAAAAACATGCTTAGTAATCTCTTAGACCAGAACTGAACAACAAATATAATGCCGGCTACATGGAATTAAAGACGTAGGAGGAGGTGAGCTTGATTTGCACCATGCAGGGTGAGCAGGGCTTCGTGGACGGGAGGAGGAGCTGAGGCAGCACATGCCTGGCACCGAATGGCTGGTGGGGGAAACTGAGAGTGAGAAGGAGAGCGGTGGGGACTCAGGTCTGGGAGTCTGTTCCCCAGGTAGCACAGCGTCTTCCCTTATTTTCCTTCACTTGCAGTCCTTTGTCCAGAGGAAGTTCAGGATTGCAGGGTTTCTCGCTCTCATTTAGTTTTGTCTTGATCATGGAACCATTTTCCTGAGTCCCTTTGATGGATTCTGGGGTTTCCCTCACACATAGGCAGTTCTCAGCTTTACAGGAGAAAGTGAGAGACTGCTCTCCACCCTGAGCGAACTTTGCCCAGCATTTGTTGGCGTGAACCTCTGAATCCAGTCCATCAAACTGTCATCGCCTGGTATTGCTCCGTTCCACTGCCCTTGTTTTTATATGTTCCTTTTAGGACCAATGGGGTTCCCGGGGCCACAGGGGCCACATGGACTTCCAGGGTCACCTGGAGAGAAGGGTGTACCTGGTCCTCCAGGCAGACAAGGGCCCCGGGGGCCTGCAGGTGAGCTTCTGATGCCTCCTCCTCTCCACCCAGCAGCCCACACAGGGCGCTTCGCCTGAACACTTCCTCTGACAGTCATCTTTCAGAAGCAATTCTTCTGAAGGCAGCAAATTCTTCTGAGTTCAGTCCTTTTGAAATAAAGGTTGTGTTTACTTCAGGCTGCACTACAAAGTCTCCTGTTGGGTAAACTAATATTTATTATTAAAACAGGTAAGTTGGAACATTAGGGGTGGATTTTACACATACTATCTCAACCACGGATCAATCTGTGTTCCCTCACCCAAGAGGCAAAGACTGAGTTGGCTATTGTTCTGTGAGGATTGCATAATCAGTTCCTATCCCTGACTTCCCATTGGTTTTGCTAGATGTTTTATTTAATGTTTTCTGTAAAGTGCATTAATGCCTATGAAGTTGAAAGGCTATTTAATTTAAACCCCATAGACAACACGTTTTCATCACAGTGTCAAAATAAGCCAAGGGATTGTTGAAAGGGCAAACAGACGTGTGTATCTGAGATGGGCAGAAGTAATATCTCTCAAGATCTTAAATCAATATTATGGTAATGTGGTGTCAGTTCAGAATATTTGGCAATCTCCTAAATTAGCACTCTAGTCCAAAGAATAAATAAACAGCACTGCTCTATAGTGGATCATAGTTCAGCATGACAGAGCTTATACTCTGATTCATCTCATATTTCCTTTCTTTACATAACCTATAAAACGTGGCAAATTAATATGGAATTTTCAGAAGCCTTCAAAATAGGCAGAATTTCTATATACATTAAATTGGGGCATATTTTCCATAAAAAAATCAACTCAAATTTTATGTTGCACAAAAGAGTTTCATTTCAGGTTTCTCTAGATATGAAAACTCCATTACTAAATCATAACTGTTCTGGTCAGTAACACTGTGGGCTATTTTTTTATGTTTATTGATTTTAGAGAGAGAAGAAAGGAGAGGGAGAGAGGGAAACATTGATTAGTTGCCTCCCATACATGCCCTAACCAGAGGTCAAACCCACAACCTAGGTATATGCCCTGACTGGGAATCGAATTTGCAACCTTTTGGTGTATGGGACGATGCTCCAACCAACTGAGCCACTCGACCAGGACACACTATGTGGACTTTTTAATGTCATGCTGTTTGCCTTCAATGCTGTCTTCAACTTATTGTTTATGTTCTCAAACAATCTATTTCATATTTGTCCTAATTCATGATTTAAAATCTCTTTCTACCATATGAAAATCATTGTGCGGCCTCGGCTTTTGCCTTTGGATCTCTCCAGGTAACAGAGGTAAGCATTGCTATAAAATGAATAATTTCCTCTAAATCTTGTTTCCAGCCATCTCTATATTTCCATTTTTCACTGCATTTGGGAGTCAAACTTGTTACATATTTATATGCGGGGGTCCTGTAATTATATTAGGTTTTAATGCCTTTGCTTGCTCGTTACAGATATAGTAACCCCATATTAGCCTGTCCTCTGCTGAGCCTCATTGCAGGTTGTCAGGGACTGTGCAAACTCAGCTTCCATAGTTTCAATTCAGGCACAGAGTATGCGGCTTTCTCTGTCAGATGCCACGGTACCCACCAACGGAAGCTTCTTTTATAAACTCCACAGTGGAAATGCCTAGAACACCCCTAAAATCAGCAGTATCAGCAGCATGAAAAGACGGGTCCTTAACACCCAGTAAGGGGCTTCCACAAGCCTTTCCTGGGGCACCAGAAGGCCATTTTCAAGGAGCAAATTTCTTTGTGTGTTAAAATGAAAATGCTATTATTCCTTTAAACTGCGTGTTCGTTTAACCCCCCCACAATGCAAAAGCAACATGTTATTTTCTGTCTGGCATTTTCAAAGAGAATGGAGTTTCTCAAAAGAAGGAAAGCAAAGCTGTGAACGCTCGCATTTCTTCCTTCCTGGCACCTGGTATTAACCCCCCTGAAAGTTGCCCTGGATACACGTGCCCTATATTATCTCTAGGTTGCGTAAAAGAGATGTCTTGGCCTCTGTCTTTCAGCTTGTGGTTTGTTAACAAATAAAGAAAAGCAAAATCATAATTTAAAAAAGTCCTGCTCTTTTAAATGTCGATGTTTAAAAATTACAGTTGTATATTTAATGAGTTTTTACTCCAACCCTTTGACTGTCTCTCTATGACTGTCTGTATCAATTCATTTGAAGAAACATCAAAATCCTAAATCTGAAGTACCAGCCAAATGCATCCCCACACCCACTCCCCTTCCCTGCTTCCTCCATGCCTTCATCACTGGTGAGCGACCGGATGACGCAGGGAACATGGGACATAGTCACCTGCATTTCTCTCAAGTTGCTCCCAATGGAAGAGACAAGTTTTATGTTAAGTTCTCCATACAGTAAAAATGCATGCAGCCCTGTGTTGCTGTGGTTTCATACAATATACAAAAGAGGCTAAATTCCAATGTCCTTATAGGGTTCAAATTCGATCTGCACAGGTACATTAACCACTGTGTAGACTAAAACAATGTGATTGTGGCATTTTCTTGATTTTCTTGCTGCTTTATCATTGCTGTTCTCAAAATTATTTTGCACATTTGTATGAATTTTAAGAAAACCCGTAAACAGGTTTTAAAATATGCTGCATTCCTTGGCATTTACCATACAGATGTTAAGAACTCTTAAGGCAATATGGTGTGGCCGGGAAGAACACAGGTTTGGAGCCGGAACATACTGGATTCTTATCTAGACCCTGCCACGTGCTAGCTCAGATACGTCACCCATTTAGCTGAGCCTGGGCCTTCTTTCCGGTGACACCCTAGTAACAGCAGCACATATACCCAGGCTGGGAGCATGCAATTGTAAAGCACTGAGCACAGGGCCTTCAGTACATGTTAGCTATTCCCATTATTGCTTAGGGTTACTCTTTCTTCTTCCTTGTGGATTGTTTGCAGGGAGATTGAATGAAGCTTTAGAAAAAAAATGCCTTAAAGATGTGAATGTAACCAAGAAGAAAGACATCTCAAACCTTTAGAGCAGTGGTTCTCAAAATGAGAGCTCAGGTGGGCACCACCGGCCTCACGGGAACATGTTAGACGTGCCGTGGTTGGGCACGTCCGGCCCTGCTGCCTCAATGCTCCGGACTCTAACAGTCTGGCCAGATGATCCAGATGTGCTAAAGTCAGAACTGCAGCTTTGCCCTGGTGCTTCACAGTCCTGGCCCACACTGGAATCATCTGGAGAAAAATTACTGGTGGCTGGGCTCCATCCCCAGAAATTCCTGTTTAATAATTCTAGGTGGGTCCCAGCACCAGTACTTTTTAAAAACTCCCCAGCTGGGTTTATCGGGCAACCCAGCTTGCAGGCACTGCCCAGGCCACATCTGTACCACTTCAACCAGAATTTCTGGGGCAGGATACAGGCGTCAGTATTTTATAACTGCCCTGGATAATTCCACTGTGAACTCAGAGTTAAAAGTCATGCTTTAGCACCTATATTAATCCCGAAGGTTCCTCTCTCTGAGCAGCAGACATGATGGAACCCCTCCTGGCTGCAATGTAGAGTGATGAATTAGACAGATGTTAAGCTGAGCGTTAGGAATACACCAGTACCTCTCCCATCACCACCTGTGGCTGGGTCCCCAGTAAAAAGTGGCCTAAAGATAGGAAATCCTGTGAAGTTCACCAAATTATTGCTGATTCAACCAACCTTCATTATTTCATACTTTTTTTTTTTTTGCTTCCTAGGAGGTCCCATTCACTTACTTCGTTATTCAGTCAGTCAGTCATTGGACAAAATGCTTTCTGGAGCTTACAAGGGCTGTCAGACATTCTCGATAAGTGTAGTGTCAGGAGCCCGTCTGTCTGACTTGAGATGGCAGAAGGAGCTTGTTCATAAGCATTTGAATTCATCACAAAAGTGGTGATTCCAATTTCAGGTGAACAGGGGCCACCTGCAGATTTGGATGCCTGCCCCCGAATCCCGGGGCTTCCTGGGGTACCAGGCCCAAGAGGACCAGAAGGAGCCATGGGGCCCCCCGGAAGGAGAGGCCCTCCAGGAGCAGGTAGGAGCCTGACACTGATTGTTCATTACTGATATATACTAGTACATATTGCTGATGTGAAAACCCAGTGTTTTGCCATGTAGGGTTTGTTTGTTTGTTTTTTGAGCCTAAACAGCTAGTGAGGATGAAGTAATGAAAATTTCCTTCCCCTTGTATATTTTTTTCTACATTTATCCCAAGGTTTAATCATATACTAATTGGATCGTCTTGCCCCTTCCATTTCTATGTTGAAATTCTACTGAAGTCTTCTATATTTGGGCAGCTTGTGGACATAAGGTTTTGAAACTTCTTAGCACAACAGAGTAGATGCTCTGTTCAATGTCATTAATAGCTGCTGACTTGATTTTTCAATGAAGAAAAATCTGCTCCCTGGAGCAGAAACAGTGTACAAGCAGAGAGAAGGAGGTGTGTCCTCGGAGGAGCAAGAGGGAGAAATGAGGGAGGTTCACTCTAATTATGGCAATGACTGCATTGTTTATTTAATTGATTTGAGCATTGCTCAGTCCTTGTTGGGGTAGCAGGATCCTCTTGAAGGATTTAAACTAAACCATTCCTTTGAAAAGTGTCCTCCAAATCATTTATCTTCTCTTCTCATATCTCCACGGCACTGGGTAATTTACTTAGTGGTTAGGGAGTCTGGGCTGGTCCTCTGGTGGTCACTGATCTTTTCGGACCAATCGGCAGTGCCCCTGATTCTAGAAACCTGTGTGCAAATGATCCTGAGAGACACAAGGCCATGACAATCTCATTTCCCCCACCTCCCAGCTATGGTTTTGCTCTTTTTGGTTTAGGGCCAAAGGAATTGGGAGCAGGAAGTTTACACCACCTGCTTTTCTCCCAGGTAGTAGAGGGCCCCCAAATGTCCCCTCCACTGGAGTCCGAGTAGTTCTTGGGCGGTGTCAGCTTCGGACCCTTCCTGGAAGTGGTGGTGGTGGGGCGGTTGTTTGTACTTGCTGTGCTGCATCTGTGTTTGTGCACCAGGTTAACTGGCGTCCACTGGAGCCACTTTCTCTGACAGCCCACAAGCCCTGGGAATTGGCAGTCGCTTCCCCTCTTTGCTTTGGCTCTCAGCACAAGGATAAAGCTCTTAGTCAGGCAGGGTAACTCATCTCTCAAACTGCTTTTAAAACCAAGCTGCCTTGTTGTATATATATTTTCAGAAATGAGAGCTGCCCTCCCCCCAAACTTTACAAAATAACTTCCAAGCAGAAGGTATAGCCTATAATGGGGTTCTACAAATTCAGTTCACGTAATGCTTCCAGATTCTTTCTACTTTTCAGAAAGTAGTAGGTGTGGGCAGTATAGATGTGGGTAAGATGTTCTTTCCTGCCCCCGCCCAGGGTCTCACAGCCTCAGGGCAGACATGGCCAGCAGAGCATAAGTCATGCTCAATGATGAGAGATAATAATTTGTGTTTTAAAGGAGTTTCAAGGGAAAGGCATTCTGAGAGTGAGACCAGGAGTGGTGAATCCTGTGTGGAGATTGTAGAGCTGCTAAGACCCCAGCAAGGAGTGGCATTTGAGTGGAGCCTTTGAGAAAAGATTGGGCTTAGAGGAACCAGAATTGTCCAACAGGGAGACGCAGGAGCACAGATAGGGGCAGGTTGGCCTAATAACCTGGTAACAAAGAGCCAGCTCCATCCTTTCCACTCAAAGTATGGTCACGCCCCAGACCTACTGAATTACTAGTAGAATCTGAATTTTAACAAGATCTCCAAAATATTGCAAGTATGTTCAAATTTGAGAAACCCTAACTATATTATATGAATGCTGTCCTTAAAATTCAGTTAAGAGTGACACTTTCCCTCATGGCTCAGTCCTAGCTGTAGGTTAAAGTCACCTACTGGGCCTTGCAAAAGGCTGATGTCTGGGCCTCATCCCAGACCAATAAAATGCAGAGGGAAGCAGAGCCCGGGGGGTCAGGGTTTTAAGGAAGCTCCCCAGATGGCCGTGGCAGGCAGCCAAGGTTGAGACCCACTGCTTCATGGTGGCTTTGGAAAATAACCAAGGAAGGTAACCGAGAAGAAAAACAATCATCTGGGCAAATTCTGTACACTTTAACTTAGTAGCGATCTTGGGCACATACGAGAGTCTCTCTTCATAGTGAGCGTCTGACCGGCCGCCAGCCTCTGGGCCCAGGTGTGCTCACCTGTCATCTCCGATTCCGCCCGATGTGGGGTCAGGTGGGCTCATCCAGCTGCAGGTGGCCACAGAGGTCCTTCTCTGGCTTCCTGTGCCCGCCCCTTATTGATGCCACCGACCCTGCCTACTGGCCGGGGGAATTCCCCAAGGCCACAGCTTTGCCACAGAATGTGATGATGTTAAATCAGGGCTGCCCCACTCCATAGCCCAGCTTCCTCCTGTGTACCCACTTACAAGCCACGCTTTCTTCTGGGCTCCCCTTCTTTGATGGGTGCCCCTGGCCACTATTATAAAGGACCCCTCTTTTCCTTGGTCTCCTCTTCCTTCTTCCTG